GGGCGAGTGTCTTCATCGTTGGCTCGAGGTCACTGAAGAGGTCGGAGCCCTGGTGACAGAACGTTGACTGGGCGTGCATGTACGACAACACCTACACACAGTCACACACACAGTCACACACAGTCATACACACAGTCACACAGTCATACACAGTCACACAGTGTATACACCTACACACACAGACAGAACGTTGACTGGGCGTGCATGTACGACAACACCTACACACACACACAGTCATACACACAGTCATACACACACAGTCACACAGTCATACACAGTCACACAGTCATACACAGTCACACAGTCACACACAGTCACACAGTCACACACACAGTCACACACAGTGTATACACACACACAGACAGAACGTTGACTGGGCGTGCATGTACGACAACACCTACACACAGTCACACACACAGTCACACACAGTCATACAGTCACACAGTCACACACAGTCACACAGTCACACAGTCACACACACAGTCACACACAGTGTATACACATACACACACAGACAGAACGTTGACTGGGCGTGCATGTACGACAACACCTACACACACAGTCACACAGTCACACATACAGTCACACACAGTGTATACACACACACACAGACAGAACGTTGACTGGGCGTGCATGTACGACAACACCTACACACAGTCACACACACACAGTCATACATACACACATACACACAGTCACACAGTCATACATACACAGTCATACACACAGTCATACATACAGTCATACAGTCACATACACACACACACAGTCATACACACAGTCATACATACAGTCACACACACAGACAGAACGTTGACTGGGCGTGCATGTACGACAACACCTACACACTCACAGTCACACACACAGTCATACACACAGTCATACAGTCATACATACAGTCATACATACTGTCATACAGTCACACAGTCATACAGACATACATACAGTCACAGTCACAGTCATACACACAGTCATACACAGTCACACACACACAGTCATACACACACACACAGACAGAACGTTGACTGGGCGTGCATGTACGACAACACCTACACACTCACAGTCACACAGTCACACAGTCATACATACAGTCACACATACAGTCACACACACAGTCACACACACACAGACAGAACGTTGACTGGGCGTGCATGTACGACAACACCTACACACACAGTCACACAGTCATACACACAGTCATACAGTCAGTCATACAGTCACACAGTCATACATACAGTCATACACACACACACACAGTCACACAGTCACACACAGACAGAACGTTGACTGGGCGTGCTTGTACGACAACACCTACAAAGACAAAGATCCCCCATATAGCCTTAACAGACTGTAGGGGCAAGTGCTGTTAGCGAGCACCTATGAAGGCTGGAACGGTACACGAGGGGGTGGGTGGCCAGCACCACGCCCGACCGCCTTTGTCTCCCCAGTGGCGATATTTACACACCGCACCAGGTACTCATTTTGAGGCTGAGTCGACCTAGGGGAGGCCCGGGACCGGTTCAGATAATCGTCACTGGTGTTGGCCGTGAGCGGGAATCGAACCCGGGTCGCCAGGTTCATAGTGCAGCGTAGCGCTAACCACTACACTACCGCTCCCACACACACATACACACACACATACACAATCACATACAGTGTATATACACACACACATTCACATACAGTCACATACATACACAGTTACACACAGTCACACACATACAGTCACATACAGATACATACACACACACAGTCACATACAGTCACACATACATACACACATACACACAGTCACACACACAGTTACACACAGTCTATACACACACACACAGTCACACAGTTACACAGTTACACACACACACAGTCACATACACACACACATACACAGTCACATACATACACAGTCACACACACACACACATAGACACACACACACATACACATAGTCACACACACACAGTTACACACACACAGCCACATACGGAGTATACACACACAGTGTATACACACACATACATAGACACACACACAGATACATACACACACACACATAGACACACAGACACACACACAGACACACAGACACACACACACATACATAGACACACACACAGTCACACACAGTGGATATACACACACAGTGTATAAACACACACACAGATACACACGCAGTTACACACAGTCACACAGTCACACACAGTCACACACAGTGTATACACACACACACAGACACACACATACATACATACAAACATACAGACAGTCACAAACAGTCACACACACAGTCACACACAGACACACACACAAAGACACACATATAGACACACACACAGCCACACGCATACACACACACACATAGACACACACACAGACACACACACAGACACACACATACAGACACACACACAGACACACACACAGACACACACACACACACACAGACACACACATACACACACACAGACACACACACACAGACACACACAGACACACACACACA